CCTCAATGAGATACCATCTCATACCTGTTAAAATGGCTATTATCAAAAAAACAACCAACAACTGTTGGGGTGGATGTGGATAAAAGGCAAGCTCTGTGCACTATCTGTGGGACTGTAAACTAGTGCAGCCACTATGGAAAACAGTATGGAAATTTCTCAAAAAATTAAAAGTAGAACTACCATTTGACCCAGTAATTCCACTCCTGGGTATTTATGCAAAGAAAAACACTAATTTGAAAAGATATATGCACAGCTATGTGTACTGCAGCATTTTTTACAATAGCCAAAATATAAAAGCAACCTAGGTGTCCATGGATATAGGTGAATGGATAAAACAGTTGTGGTGTATATATTTAGTAGACTATTACTCAGCCATAAAAAAAAAAGAATGAAATGTTACCATTTGTGACAACATGGATGGACCTAGAGGGTATTAGTCTAAGTGAAATAAGTCAGAGAAAGACAAATACCATGTGATTTCACTTATATGTCGAATCTAAAAAACAAAACAAATGAACAAACGAAACAAGAAAGGCTCATGTATACAGAGAACTGATGGTTGCCAGAGGGGAGAGAGTCGAGGATGGGTAGAAAAGGTGAAGGGAAGTAAGAGGTACAGGGATATAACACACAGCATAGGAAATATAGTCTATATTATAAGTTTGTACAATGGCAGAGGTTACTAGATACATCGTGGTGATCACTTTGTAAGGTATATAAATGTTGAATCACTCTATACACCTGAAATTACTATTGTATGTCAACTAATTAAAAAATAAATTATTTTTTTAAAAAAGACATGGTACAGAAAACATGAGTCCACATAGGAGAGGGGTGAAGGGATTTCTAGGAGGATAGAGAACAGATATCATGAGATGCTACCTAGAAACGAAACCAGATTGGAGCAGTGAGTCTAGACAGTCATGCTGCAGGGCATTGTTTTTTTTTAATAACACCGGAGTGAATGCCCTGGGGGCCTGCCGGATAGAAATGTAGTGACCTTGACAATTTGCTGATAAATTTCCTGCTCTTTCCTCCAGGTCTCGCTGCCTACATTGGCTGTGGACATTTATTTCATCCACCAAAATTTTTTACTTTGATTTAGTTCCACAAACTGGAACAAGGCCATACTGAGCTTAGAAGCAAGAAACCCAGGGCAGTTCACTCCCGCTATTCATATGTTTTATACTACAACCCTTCCAAATTCATAGACTGTGGTGAGCCTTAGATTTCCTAGAACTAATGCATGGCATCCCTCACTGAACACCCCAGAAGGCCCTTTTGAAAACTCCCAGGAAGCAGAAGCCTAAGACCCAGAGACCATTGAGTTTATTTTGTCCTGGAATCCTTCACACGACTAGTTTTGTATTTCACACCCTGTGGGAGGGCAGGGGGAATGGAGAGGAATGTTGAAAAGCAGTAAACACAGATTTTAAGTTCTATTTCATAACCTGGGTGAAGGACTCAAAAGTTTTTCTTTAATTTTTTTTTGGATTAACATTTATATTTTACACAGAATTTCACATATAGAAAATAAAGGAAAAAGAAATAAGTCTACTCATCCAGTAATGGTTGGACTATAAATTGGAACAAACTTCCTGAATGACTTTTTGGCAAAGAATATCAAAACCCTTAAAACCGAGCATGCTTTTAGACCCAGTAATTATACTTCTAAAAAATATTATATGAAAAGTTGTACAGTGCTCAAAGTAGACTGAAAGGCTATGCTAAAACAGAAACCAGCAGTTAAAAATTAGGAACCAAAAAAAACCCCACTCTTGTAGAACTGATTAAAATAAGTGGGATATTCATGCAATTGACCATTATGTAATCATTAGCTACGATGCATTTACTGGCATGGGTAAAGTTCACATTACACTGTAATTTACTTTAAAATACTTAAGCATAGACCATATGATCTGTGCACACAGTGGTTTTTAATCTACTCCCCAGAGATGATTAGTTAATATTTGAAGAATCCTGTTCAGTGCATGCATTCCAGGCATCTGTGATTTAGAAGCAGCTACTACAAGTGCTTCAATAATAACTATCTCTATCAGCATTGGAAGATTTTCTAACTAGCTTAAGAGATGCTCAAAATATTTATCCATTGGCAAAAAACACAAGCACATTCGCTCTTGCATTTACAGGAGTATAACAGAAGCCTATGCCCACGAGACTGCTTAGCAGAAGGATATTTCTGTGTCTGCCTCTAGCACACTTGTCCTGCAGGGAACTCCATATACCTGAGACATGGGCTCTTGCATCAGGTTTGCATGTACAGGTTTCGTGACTCTTCATGGTCACTTGCTAAATGTGTGTGAGTGTTATTTTGGATACTTCTGAGAAGCAGATTCCAAGACAGTATTATTGCAGATTTAATGGGAGACATACCCATGAAGGAAAAGAGGAGAGAGCTGGAGAAGGTGAGAAAGACCTTCAGTCTGCACTGAAGGCCCGATAATGTGAAGGAGACAAGGAAGCAAGGGGGTTGGAGTGGGAAGTGTTTCTGATTACCATGGGGTTCCAAGAAAGGTTTCATCAGTCTGATGGGCAATCCTTATGCCAGAATCACCCATTGGGGGTAGTCACTCCTGTTGCAGCAAAGGTCCTGCATTAATTAACAGCACCGATGTGCTCAGCCATGGCTAGCATGATGTCAGTGCGAATTAGTTGGCAAATCCAGAGAAGCAGCAGCTGGTACTGCCAGTTCCTTATGCTCCCACAAAGGAGACCTGAACATTTTCATGGCTGCCATTGTACCTGTGGTAGAATTCAGACTGAGACAAACCACCTAGTAGAGAGATTCTGAGTGTTCTTACCAATAATCTAACCACTGGAAACAACAGATAACTAGGAAAAAAGAATATGATGGTCGTACAATAGCCGAATGAGCCGTATCTATTCTCAACGATACAGTTGTATGTATGTGGGTTTCAATGTGACTATAGCATGGTCCCGTTCTTTGGTTTTAAGTCCATTACACTACAATTGTTTTTTAATAAATAAATTAAAATGAGTGAGATTTTTAAAAAGTATTTTATGAGCCACAACTAGAGTTCCTTTTAGGGACTTTGCCTCCCTCCCACACAGGCCCTCAGGTTCTAAATCCCCCATGCAACCGTCTTATCAAGGCCTTTTCCTACAGCACAGTGAATAAGAAATAAACAGGAATTTGGGGTGTGGGAAGACATGTAGAAAAAAGAGCAAAGGAAGAGAGGAAGAGCAAGGTAATGAGGTGTTTAGAGGCCAAAGGACTTTATGTTGCCTTGTGAATGATAATGTTTAGGAGAGAATTAGAAAAAAGAGCTATATATGCCAAGTGGAGATAAAGAAATATCTACACAGTGAAGAAAGAAATGATGGCCAAGAGTGCCAAATGCCTTGAGCAGTTCCAGAAATCTTAAGGTATGCACTAAACTTCCCACAGGATTTGGGCTTGGGGAGCAGGGTGGAGGCAGAGTGGGGAGTACAAGCTGATCTGAGGGAGATAGTAAGAGATGGGGTCACCATAACTGACATCTTAAAAATATACATAGACACAAAATATACGTGAGTAGAAAATATTTGACAACACAAATAAAATGTTAGTATTGTTTCTTTAAAGAATAGGGTTCTAAATGATATTTTTCTTGTCTCTATTTTCTAATTTTTCCTAAATGAACACAAATTGGTATACTCTAAAGAAAAGGATATTGAAAAAATAATTAGGGTAATTGCTTATTTCCAGGAATTAGGCTAAACATTAGCTAAGTAAAATCACTGTTTCCCACATAGTCAATTGGTCAATTATAAGAAGAACTCCATAGAACAGGTCAATTTACCCTGTAATCCATGCATGCATTTTGTAGCTAATTCACCCCTGGGAGGTATATTTAGTAGACTACATTAGGTAAAGTAGACCTTTTAGTTAAGATTTTTTTCCATGGCTGTTAATAATTGGCTATACCCTCTCTGAAAAGCTTTTGACTAGACTCATCTTTACTTTGCTTTATTATGAGGTCTTAGGAAAAATATTGTTCCAATAAGGACTAAATTTAAAACTGACTATAATTAAAGCTAATACTTTTCTCAATAGCAATCTCCCTGGATCATAGGCTACCTTACCCTCACAAGGACATGACTCATCAGAATTCTACTGGTAAACTATTATGCAAAATAGTAAAGTATCTGTCTTAATGACTGGAACATGAAGATATTCCCTTCTTTTCTTACTGTTACTCACATTTCTACTTGCCAGCTTAATTTCTAAAACATAGATGCATCATTAATTAGCAGCAACTAGTGCTTTTAGACCTCTGTTACAGGGTATTATTGAAGAACAGTTGTACCTGCTAAAATATACCTGGCTGAAAGAATGTCACAGAGATTCTAATTGCATGCCACATATCCTTTCCTACAGCCTTGTTAAGTTCTATCCACGGATCAAGTACATCACTGGAAGATGATGTGTGTTGCCACTAGTCGCAGTGTCTTCCTATTTAAAAAAAAAAAAAAAAAAAAAAAAAGCTCCCTTTCTTCCAGGCAGACCTGTCGTATACCAGGGTTATTGATTTGATAAGAGGAATGAGGACTGGATTTCAATCTCCACTCATCCCATGCGCTGGGTGCTCCTAGTACATTGTTCAATCTGAATAATTGTCCAGGGAAGCCATGGCTTATATGCTTAGGGGACATTACCTTAGTCCTACAAGGAAATCCTGTCGCTAAGTCATGTTTCAGCTCTAGACCTTTATTATCCTCATGTCTCTCCAGCCATATTTGCTGAGAGTCCTATGCAAACCAATATTTCCCAGCTTTTTCGATTTCATGGACCAATTTAAAAAAAATACAAAGGGTTTTTTGGGGGTTGATAAAGGGTTGCCAAGTCTTATTTGAAAACAATACGATTTAAAGTAATTACTGAACGTAGAGATTTTAGAATCGAAGGCCAATATTTCTCAAGAAAAAAAAGCTATCTACTTAGACCTACATTTTTACTTTGATAAAGTAAAGCTTACTCTGTGTGTTGGGGAACTGCTGATGTGGTCATCACTGCCTGCCTTTCCTGTCTCCTCCGTCCCGTTCTCCTCTAGGCACACTGGCTCTCTTCAGGTCCTCCAGCCCATCCCGTCGCTTCTTCTGTTCTCTTAATCTGGTTTATGCTACTCCCCTTTCGGGTTTCAGATTGCGGAGACAGGTATAGATTCTAAACCAGAGACATTTAAGAAAATTTAGGAATTGTTATTGTTTCAATAAGTGATACAAAAGAAAAGAATACTGGGTTATATGTCAATAAATTTAATATTTATCACCCCTATGGACTGTGAGCTTCATGAGAAGACCACTCATACCTACAATTTTACTTCTAGCACCTGATACAGACCTACCTACATAATAGATACTTAAATATCTGTTGAACAGATTAAACCAACATTCCTTAATGTGCTATATGAGAGATCTGAATTTTGAACCAGAGGACTTGTTCCCGTCTTTGAATGTTAAAGATAATTTGTTTCTTGCCTTGCCCCATTTCCAAGAACCTCAGACACAGATTTATATTCTATCACAGCAATAATGTTGACTCTTCTGGTTGGAATATTGACTGTTTCCTCTTTCATATTTTTTCTTATTATTTTACCCTTTATTTTAAGCTGTTCTAAGCTGGTTCAAATTCCTCTTCAGAAAGATTCAGGGTGTAAATAAGTAAATAAAATCCTTATAGTGCAATCGCTCACCTGTTCCCAAAATAAAATACTGACATTTCAAATGTTCCTTATTGTAAAGGTTAGATGATTAAATATATTCCTCTTCTGCTCTACCTCAGAGTACTCAAATAAACATCAACCACATGCAAACCACACAAATAGATCAGACTTTTGAATGGAGGTAGTTTTAAGGGACAGACAGTTGAAGATCAAGAGAAAAGAAAATGCAAGGTATAGCATTCTAGTTTAAAAACAACCAACCTTAAGAAAACTACCACATGTATTTCTATTTTTGCTTATTATATGCCCTTTTAAAATACTAAGAAAAGCCAGCAGGCAGCTGACATATCTTCCAAAGATTCTGAAGAAGCACCGAGATTATTTTCTCCCATGAAAACAAGCTTAACGTTCAAAATGATCGGACTAGCTTCTCTAGTTTGTACTTAAAATTGTGCCAAATATCAATTAAATTTCTAATTCTGCATGATTTTCTAATAAAAAGGATTTAACACAAAACATCCATAGGCTAATAATCCCTAATTGGCTTAACTACTTATTTAAGTTACATATCTCCTGTAATGTCTAGCAGAGCTTTATTATCTCAGAGAAAAGCTTCCTGCGTTTTCAGAAGAGAGGTTACCCTCCGTAAGATAAATCATCTTAGTTTATCTAATCTGCCTACCCAAACAGATTAGAATCCTCAAGGTAGAAAGCCTCTTGGAATGCTAGCCAGCCTCATCCTCTCATGAGACATAAACAAACTGAAGCAGACGTTAACAGACTTGCCTAAGACCACATAGAGAGTGAGCAGCAGTTCGGACTAAGTGCTTCCTCTTCACCTGCAGCCTCTGCAGGGAATCCTGACTAGCTGGGAGGATCAACTGAGGGCGTCAAGTGGCAAAGGAGAGGTTAACAGCTCTAAGGAAGCACACTGAAATGGACCCTGGGCACATACTTAAGTTCCAAGAGACTACAACCCCATTCAATATAATAAGAGGCCATGTTCTTGCTGTTATATCTGAGGATTTTCCAGTTGCCAACATTCTCGTCTCCAGAGCCACAAAATACACTCAATCAGTGTGCACAGCACTTGTATGGAATACAAGGCTTTAATTGGGGGTTGGGAAGAAAAGGGAAGGGCTCTCATGAAGTCATTTTAACTCTGCAAAGGGATATGCTGGGAGATCAGTTCCTAAACACCCTCAGCTTTAATTTCTGCACTAGTACATTAGACTGACGTGCCCAAGGTCACAGGGATTAGTTTCTATGTGGCGAAAAGCCAGACCTTACTCCAGATCAAGTCTTTTCCCTACTCTGTGGCTATCTCTCACCCTACACATAACAGCCTGTATGGATACCCGTCAAGCACAACTTTAATCCACTTTATAAACCTCTTGCTCAGGCCACGCTGCAGCAACCAGCTCTGGAAAGGCTTCCGCCAGCTGACTGAAGATGTAGCCTGAGACACCTTGCCGTGAGACTAAACCATTGCCCAGAGGTCCTGAAGCGGGAAGTGAGAGAACCACAGGAATTCTCTATGTTTCTGCATGCAAACACATACTCTGGATCTCCAGGATGACCACTTTGAAGAGCTGCTACACAATTTCAGTGTCAATGTTGCCTTTGGCATCAAATTGTACGATTCTGCTTCATGTTAAAAAGGATGGGGCAGACTTACATAAGTGACATGTTTACATCAACTGCAGGTCAAATAATACATCCCCTGAAAGGTAATACCAGTGGCTCAAAGTAAAAGGTAATTTTGTACTAAAAATTCTTTACATCAATACTGGGGATATAAGAAAAACATTTTTAAAGATAAATTATGTATTATTCAAGTCTGAGAAAAACTTTCTTCATATAATTGTCTAACAATTCTAGTCTCAGATAACACTTGCTTTTCTAATCACTCCCAGATATTTTTACTCTAGAAAACTTTTGGGGCTTCACACTCAACTGGTAAAAAGCACAATCATTTTTGCCATGACATCTAGCCTTTCTAAACTTAATTTTATAAGGTGCTATTTTTCTAGATATTAGAACGTCAAGTTCTCCAACAACTGTAGATTCCTCAAAGATGTTTAGCTGTTGCTGTTTTCATTCTCACCATCGCCACCCTCACTGTTAGGATCTGTAAGAAACTCTTCACAACTTCCATTTAACCATACCACCAAAGTAACATATTTCCCCCATTTCTTCTACAGAATATATTTTCTTAGGTCAGGTTCCCTAGAAACAGAGCCAGGGATGGGGATTCTCATGCAGCTGACTTTCTGAGAGTGCACATTCAAGAGAAAGCTGTAAGGAAATGAGGAAAGTAGGACACAGAAGGGAAAGAAGCCAAGCGAAGATGAATTTGATTGAAGTCTGATCTCTGACCAACGGCACAGGGAACAGTGGAGTATGAATGGCACTCTAGACTTTTTCGACCTTGAGGTAAGGGTTAAGTATTCTGTCCTCAAACCAGTCAGTCATTAGCCATGAGCCAGTCCAGATAGGGTGCACAGCCTCCTGGGCATCTCCAGGCAAGGACAATTTTCTAGAGAAGAGTGCATCCATGAGCCATCAGCAGCCAACACTCATAGCAGCTGGAGGCTGGGTGCACCTGCCCAGCAAACAGGATCTGGGTAGGGCTTTAATAAGGGTTACTGCTCATACTGATATCTACCTATTGACATAGCCAGTAGTCTATAAGGTCTAGCCAGGAAACAGCAACAACCAGAGGTCTTAATAAAGGAGAAATTAATGATGGGAAATTGGGCATGTGGGTGATGAGAAGCAATAGGAGTGAGTGAGGCAATCCAGTGATTAATAGTAACAAGAAGCTGTTACGACCTCAAGGAAGAAGGTGGTGTTAGCTCTGACTGCTGTTATGACCTCAAGGAAGAAGGTGGTGTTAGCTCTGACCTCTAGGAGGTGCTAGAACCCCTGGGTGGATGTAGATGAGACACCTAAGGAAGTAGGGAGGGGAAAATGACCTGGCTTTCCCCCTCTCCTCTAGCCTTTCTGTTTTCTCCCGGTGTCTCCAACTGGCTAAACCGATGTAGAAGCCAGAGAGTTGGAGGCCAAGGAGATGTAGCTCCTTTGATGCACAGCAGAATAGGGGAGAGGCAGAAAAAGAACAAGAGCCAATAGGCAGGTGACTGACACAGCTGCTATAGCACATCTGTACTCTACCATTCACACCAAGTGATACATATACTTACCAAAACAGCTGTGTGTCATTTCCTCCATTATATAGAATAAGCTAGTTTGAGAACATAGACATGTCTTTAGATTAAAAATAGAAGTTATCAGATTTATGCCAGGTCTTAGTTAACTCAATCAAATGTATACCATGTGTTGTTTTTCCAGCTCAGTCCCTAGTTATCAAACTGTAGAAAAGACAAACAGTGAAAGTTACACTCCTCCTGGTGCCCACCCCCTAGCCCAAATTAAATCTAGGCAAAGAGATAAGAAAAAGATGGAGAGTTTTAAAGGTGACATTAAGAATTGAGTTCCATTTTATTAATAATTTTGGCACAGGCTGACTTGGCAGGACCTTCTCTTTGCTTGAACTTCCATTTTCTCCTTCAGATATCTGGGTAAATAATATTTAATATTTGATATTTTCAAAATGTTAGTAATCACCTGAAACATTTCACCACTTACTAATATAATTAAGCATCAACCAAACTTAGTGAGCACGTTTACAGATGTCTTTAATTATTTGTTGATTTGTGTCAATACGCAGGACTACTCAAGAGACAGCTTATACAATGGCTGCCCCAAGGGGCTTAATAAGTGATTACAGGCTTATTAGGAAACAGAAAGACAAGCCTCCCAGGTGTTGTTCTCTACAACCTGCAAATCAAATAACTGGAAAAAAATGCAGGTTTGCTATGAGTGAAGCTGTTTTTCAAGTAAATATACTACATGCAGACACATATACTAGTTTCCATTTAGTTGACAGAGGAAAATAATAGAGTTCTGTGAGTGTTCTCAACTCTATATTTCTTTAAAACAATTTAGAAGACCTGAAAGTTATACCCATCTACTAAATCCATCATGCATTTTGGTGAATAAAATCTAATGCAAGAAATAGTATTTATGTGCAGGCATACTAACATAGTTGCCAAAACTTCATAAAAAGTTATGACTGAATATACTTGCTAAATGCTGAATTAAAAAAAAATATTTCTGCCTTCAAGGAAGTTATATACTGGGACAAATGATAGTCAAATATTTACAATATACCAAATATTCACATCTTTACCAAATCCAAATTTTAAATGACCTCTCAAGCTTTCAAATCAGTATTGAGATGCACCAGAAGGGCATCCAGTTCTATATCTACTGAGATAAAAAATCAAATTCATAATCATAACACGAGCAAATTCCTTCCAACTGCCAATATGGATGTGGGATGCAGTTAATTTTCAGTGATTAACTATTTTTGAGAATTAGGATTCAGACCATTATACTACAAAATTTCTCTTGATAATCCAAATAAATTACTTTG